AGTTCGTAGCTTTACGTATAAAAGGGACCCTAGGAGGTCAGATCTATGATTTGGATGCATTAAGACCTAGTATAATCTTGGACAAAGAGGGACTCGGCGAGTCACTTGGGTGACTCGACAAGTTGGGACCCTTTTTTTCCCCAAAACGTCTTCTGGGAATGGTGTTGGTTGAGTAGAAGGAACACTCAGCCTGCTAGGGGTTTGTCATGGACCTGGAAATCATAGGACTCGGCGAGTGTATGAACAGACTCTGCGAGTCCAAGGCAATCTCCCAACTTATGAAGACGGACTCGGCGAGTTCAATGGGAACTCGGCGAGTCATAGACTGAACATCTTCTTATGGATAAAGATGAACTCGAAGAGTTCAAGAACGAACTCGGCGAGTCGGGTGAAGATTGTTTGATGTGTTGTTGAAGGCGAACTCGTCAAGCTCTTGCTAGACTCGACGAGTAGGAACGAGGTTATGGCATTTTGTGGATATGGGGACTCGACGAGTTGGCGGGCCAACTCGGTGAGTCGAGTCAACCAGATGTTGACTTTGACCAAAAGTTGACTTTGGCCATGGAGTTGACTTTGACACTGACTGGGATTGAGTGACCCTTGTAAGGGTTACAAGTATGAGTTGATAACTTAGAAGAGTTGTCGTGTAGGGATTGAGGAGTCGGGGATAGTCGATTTCCATACCGAGATCAGTGCAGACACTACGCGACAGTGAGGCGAGTTACCTTCCAGTAGTGGTGGGTCTACGGCCACAATGCGGGACCACAAGTAGGAGTTGTATGTTAGATGATTGTCTTTGTGATATTCATCTAGGTTTGCTACTACCTGATATGTTTATGTGCTAGCATGATATGTTATATGTGATAGTGGTAGTAGGAGGGGAATAGTCCCCAAGTTCGGTTGTTAGGACCGAAGGGTAGGTCAGCACCCCAGAATGGCTTGACATGGGTAGGTCAGCACCCCAGAACGCTTGACATGGGTAGGTCGGCACCCCAGAATGGTCGGACCGGGTAGGTCGGGCACCCCAGAATTGCCCGACAGCATGTATGCTATGTGACTGTATGGTATGTGGTATGATGGGGGAACTCACTAAGCTTTGTGCTTACAGTTTCAGTTTTGGTTTCAGGTACCTCTTCATCCAAGGGGAAGGAGCCCACGGTGTAGCAGCGCATCACACACACACACATGAGTTCCGCATTAAGTTTTCTGGGATCGTACACTCTGATATTTATTACTATTGATGATATGGTTTGAGACACGTTGTTACGGTTTTTATAAATTGATATGATATTGGCAATGTTCTTGCTAAACTATTTATTAGTTACTTAATTAAAAATGAAATTTTTGGCCTTGAAATTTGGGATGTTACACTTGTGTTAATATTCAACTATTTTAAACTGTTTCAATCGTTATTTTACCATATAGATATATATATATATATATATATATATATATATATATATTATATATATTATATATATAATTATATATTCTATTAAGATTCTACAGGGCTTAGAATTAGTGATTTCGCCTTAACTCCTGTTCCTTGTTGGTTGTGGGCTTAGGATCGAATCATTTATTCGACTGTCTTTTCAATCTTATATATATATATATATATTATATATATATATATATATATATATATATATATATATATATATATATATTCTATACTATATGAGTATAAAAATTATTCAAACACGTTAAACAAAAAGAATATATTTCGCAACTTATTATTACTATTGTACAAAAATGTTAAATTTCACACGTACAAAAATGTTAAATTTCACGGAATACCTTTATCTCGGAATTACGAATATACACATTCAAAGTTGCTAAAAATACAAAGGTTTTCATTTCAACAGAACATACACATTAAACTATAATAAGTATAGTTTATGGAACATACGTGCTATTTTACCAAGTTCGGGATACAATACAAAGACAAACATATAAACTATAATAGGTATAGTTTATTCATTACAAAATGGCTTTTCATTATTCTACAAGTAACCGTCAATATAGCTTTGTGAGACACACTTCAAGTATTTATCTAAGTGCCAACGAAAGTCCTGAAATTATAACTAGAGTCTCCTGGAGGGAGAGCGTGACACTTGTGTATAGATCTATACGGGACTGACAATCTCGCACTTAAATTGTTAGCTACAGTTAGGCCGGCAGGCCTGGGGTGATAAATGTTGTACCAATTCCGACGCTTGAAGAACGTCGTATCAGGCCATCTTAGGTCATCAGACATGGTTATAATAACTCACAATTTGGTATTGAACAATACGATTAGTGTACGAATACATAAATAACTTCAAATAGTTTTATTTAATAATAAAACTACAATACAATATTTTACAGTACAGATGGTGTATCCAGACACATACATTCATAGAGTTTCATATAAGTACAATTACAATATACTATTTTCCAGTACAGAGAAAACTTACATTTCAGAGAAACATTCATTTTCATATGGTTTTATTCAATAATAAAACTACATTATACTATTTCAGAGTACAACAATACTTACACATTTTGGTCTTAAGGTATTAAGACTACAGTTCATTTATAACAGAAAATATAGGATTTTCTGGGAGAAAAAAAACGTACATTTTTCAAGGAACAAATGACAGACTTCTAATACAAAAATGTTTATAAACTCACCAACTTAATTGTTGACACTATTTTCAAAACTACTTGTATTCTCAGGGAATCAGTAGACAGGTATCCACACAGGTTTTGAGAAGACGGAGCATCATAGTGTCACGTCTTTTAGTTTTTGCTATATACTTTTTGGTGTCAAGTATACAACGATTTGAACACAGATGTAAAAACTATACTTTATCAATATGATGGTTGTTGTGCTTTGATTACTATTATTCAATTTGTTGTGATACTGTACATGACATCATCCGCCCCGAACGTTTCCTCCGTTCTGGTTTGGGGGTGTGACAAAAACCAATTAAAGCAAAAGATGATTTTTTATGTGTAGTTTACATGGGTTTTAGTCTTTTTATTATTTTGATGTTCTTTAAGACTAATCATATAAGGGCATTGCCCGAATTAATTGAATGTCATTGTAATATGTTGTAATGTCCTTGTATCGTTTTGCATTGTTTTAGAACGGGTAAATAGCACAAAAGACACTACGTTTACACGAAAATTCTAATTTGACACTGTGTTATTTTTTGTCTCAAATTTGACACTGTGTTTTCTAATTTGTTACAATTCTGACCACTTGAACGATCAACCCGGTTACTTGTTGGCGTGGCATGATGACGTGTCATTTTTGGTGACGTGGGATGCTGACGTGTCAAAATTGAATTTTTTTTCCACAAAAGACACTAAGTTTTCATTTTTTTTTCGATTGACATTAATTTTTTTTTTCAATTTTGACACTCTATTTTTTTGTTCCAAATCGAAAATCATTTTTTCCAATTTTGTTCAATGTCAATCATTTTCTATTTGAAACCTTATAATTATTTAATCGTAAATAAAAATACGTGTAAAATCTACAACAAAAATTAAAATAAATAATATTTCATAAGTGATAATTGATAAAATTTTGTTATTCTTATTTGAAGTTTATGGTTAGTTCGGCTCGCATTATATAACCAAAAATATTTATAAAACATATGCTTTGAATGTAAAAAAAAACTTTGTATTTATATAAAAATATGGTTTTTAAATGAAAAAAATTGTTTTTATATGGTTTAAAATGTAATAAAAAAATATTTATAAGGTTTCAAATGGAAAATTGTCAGCCTTAAACAAAATTGAAAAAAATAATGTTCGATTTGGAACAAAAAAAATGTCAAAATTGAAAAAAAAAATTAAACTTAGTGTCAAAATCGAAAAAAATTAAAAAGTTAGTGTCTTTTATGGAAAAAAAAATTCAATTTTGACACGTCAGCATGTCATGTCAGCATGCCACGTCATCAAAACTGACACGTCATCATGCCACATCAGCAAGTAACAGGGTTGACCGGTCAAGTGGTTAGAATTGTAACAAATTATAAAACACAGTGTCAAATTTGAGACAAAAAATAACACAGTGTCAAATTAGAATTTTCATGTAAACGTGATGTCTTTTGTGCTATTTACCCATTAATTCAACGAATGACTTGCGAAACTTCCAGCAAAACCATCCTCAAAGTGATCATCAAACTTATTATTGTAACTCTCAATTAAGTTAATAGCATTGTTGTTTAATAAAATTCGTTCATATACCATTGGAGTTGGAACACATGTCTTCGATTTTTTTCATTGACTTGATGAACTCTTCTGTATCTTTATACATTGTAACCTAGAGGCATTGTCATACGACAAACCACTGAGAGTCGACAATCGTTGACTTTTGTGCGCAAGAGGTATTGTACATGTTTAAATTGAGAAATGAGATTCAACACAATATTGTCAACAAGACAATATTTTTGTGAGTTGTGACCTTCACGCATACCACTTCAGTTAGTTATTCTGTCAAAATTGTTGAGAGAATGTACCACATTTTGGATTCTCTTTAAACAGGATGGACCACATAAACGGATATAACCCATTGGTTATCAAGTCCACACCAATCCCTTTCATATCAGGGGTCATTTTGTTGATTAGCAATTATTTTTTGTTATTTTCTATAATCCTATAAAAACATATGGTGTTTTGTGAATATCTCATTTTATTTTTATAGTCAATTGACATTGATATATCATATACGATTGATTTAAAATACTTGTCATCATTTTAAATGAGTATGATAGGAAGATATGTAGGAATAAAAGTAGAAGGATATTTAATTTCTCTGATCTTTTTAAAAATCAAAATCAGACTAGGAAAACAAATATATTCCACCCCAAAATAAGGTTTTTTTCCAGGGACCAATAATGCATTGTTTGTATCTTGAAGAAGTTGGTATGAAAATGTGAAAATGTACATATTGCGCAAGAAGCATCGAAGCTTTGCAGAGACCACTACTAGTGTTTACAATTTGGAAGCTGCAATTACTGAAAACACCATATTTTTCTTCTTTGTTAAACAAATTTTGTAGACAATATTATTAAATGAACTAAGTTGGTACCCAAATAAACCACTCGGACAAACACTTGATGTTGTCGTCATTCAACTGGCTTGGTTTGGCTTGGCTTGGCTTGGCTGTGCTTTGTCCCCCTGCCTTATGGAGTCAACCAACACTTCCCAATCCACAACTCTTTTTTTTTTTTTTTTGTCGTTGTTGTTTACTCTTGTACAACAATCATTCTTTCATCTATCCACCTCTATAAAATATAAATAGTTTACATACAACTGAATTCTATTTTTGATTTATTCGAGTTTCTATTCGTTCCACCGAGAGCCGCCCGAGACTTCTGAGGCGGGCAATGATTTCCTTGAATGATGGCCGAGCCTGTGGCTCGCTGCACACAAAGGAATGGAATTCATCATTGCATTCCATTATCATGTTTGCTTTGGTTAGCTTTATTGAAGAAAGGGAATTATTCATTCAAACATGATGTTATCTAAAATTACAAAACTAATCAAATTATATACATAAATAAAGAAAAAAAACATTATTATTATATGAAAATAAACTTTAAACAAATAAATAATTTGCATATAAACATAATTCATGGCATTTGAAATGTGTATATATATATATATATATATATATATATATATATATATTATATCGGATAGTGAAAAAAATAACATTTATCACTTTAATAGAACTGTTTACAAAAATAAAAATAAATTCCATGAGATCTTGAGATAAAACTACTACAAGAGTTAACTTTTGGAAAAAAAAAATATATGAAGTTTTGAATTTTTTTAAAAACATTATACTAATTGAAGCTTATTTAAAAGAAGTAATTCATAACTATAATATATCATTACTCGTTCCATTTCACCAAGGAATGAAACTGAATAATAATCAACACAGGAGAAGGAATCACATTTCCATGAGGAAGGAATCTCTTGGATTACTACATATCAACACTACCTTGGATTTAAACAATCTCCAAATAAAAAGTAATGTTCCTTCAACATAAATAATAGATAAAACATGAGTACATGACATGTGTTTTTAGTTAAATAAGAAAAAAAGGAATGAACAAAATTCGTAGAAATGATACCACTATTTAGTGATCATTAATAATGTTTATTGTGTCCTTCAATTCAAATTTAGGACCTACTTGGATTTTGAGCTAAAACAAGCAATATATTAGTGAGTTTGTTTAGAATGAAGGATTAAAAATCATTGTGTGTGGTTTTGTCATGCATCTAACTTATCTATTGCGCTTAATGTTAGTCGGCATTGTCAGTTGGGGCTACTAGATTCCACATAAAACTTTTAGAGTTGTAACTGGATTATGTAATAATTGTCATGATATGATGGCTTAGTTGTTTTAGTTATATTTTGGTTGATTTAAGTTATGGCATTCGTTGTGGGCAGTGTTATCGATGGCGATAGCGAGGTCATAGCGACAACCTACCTATAAGCTATGTCGCGATAGCGATGAAATAGCGACGGCTATTTCATTTTTAGAGAATACCTATTAAAAAATTATACTACTTTTACTTTCACCTAATTAGCAATTATAACTAATAAATAAGCTAAAAACCCCAAGACTATTAACTCAAATAAGTTCTAAAACATGCATACTACCAAAAAAGACTATTAATCTTTGATTGCAAGAGAAATCGCAGGAAGAAGGAAAGGAGCTGGCAATAGTTGAAGAAGCGGAAGGGAGGCTGGGTCGAGAGAAGAGCGTATGAACCTTCTTTGACTTAGTCAACTAAAAAAAACCCTAAAACGGGTCTATAGATACCGTACTAAAAAAAAAAAAAAAAAAAAATCAAGAACGTCGCTATTGAGCCCATAGCGACCCTTGAACGCCTCGCCTCGCAAAACGCAATAGCGGTCGCTATGCTCGCTATTGATATCACTGGTTGTGGGGTGCTTTTGATTTAGATACTTGTTATTTGTTGATGCTTAGTAAGATGGAGGTCTCGAGAACGAGGAGCATAAGGAATTGTGTTGTGGTGGTGGAGCGAGGAAGTCCAAAGTAAGGTTAAAGTAAAACAAACACGTTTTAAATGAGTTTTAAATGAGTGGCAAGGGTGGGGAAAGAGACAAGGAGACCAAACGAGATGTGAAGAAAGCAATGGCTATAGTAAAGTATAAGGCATATAAAGAGATATATGGGAAATTGGATGCAGATAGAGAGAAACAGAATCTACAAGTTAACACAATCCAGAGAGAGCAGGCAAAGGGACATAGGAAATGTAGGGTGTGTTAAGGACAGCAATGGTCGTGTTGGTGTTTTTTGTGAAAGATGAGGAAATCAGGTGAAAATGAAACAATGTTGGAGATGAGAAGGGCAACAACAAACTTGCAATGATTGCTTCTTCACAGATTAAAAAGTGAGGAAGTCGCAGGCAACTATCAAGATATAAAGCTTTTTAGGCATACCATGAAGCTGTGTTGGAGGCTACGCTGCGACATGATACAGCCATATCGGAAAACCAATTCAGATTCATATATGGTAGGTCCAAGGTTTAAAAGAACAGAATCGCGCCTCGAGGCGTTTTCCCTTCGCCTCACGAGGCGTAAGCCTCGAGGCGGAGCGAGGCGTAAGCCCGAGGCGGAATTAAAAAGTAAATATAAAAACTATATATCTTATAAAAAATAAAATACTAAACATATAATTGAAACTACAATAATATATAATTGAATCTACAAGGGTCTGAACTTCTTTGGCTTCCTAATGCACTTGACTGTCTTTGGTCGTCATTCTCCTCACCTAGACCAATAAAGTTCTCTTGGTGCTTCTATTTCAATATCTTCTACACGATGTGTAGAATACACAGAATAGAATACTAGAAGGAATTGTAGAATACATGGAATAGGAATATAGGATAATAGGAATGTCACTTGAATCCACTAAAATACCAGGTAATCGAAGCATCAAAGCATAAGACTGGAATTTGTAGGTAGGTTGTCAATTTTTCAGTCGGCAATCAATTTCCCGTCAATCTCCAATTCGGCATTCCAAAATCCAAATTGACAATCCCAATTGCAAATTGAAGCAATTCCGTTTGGTAAAAACACGTTCCAGCATTCAATTTGGCCATGGGATGGGATCGTCAAAATTAGACTAAAAATCAAGGCGTACGTTTCTGAAAAACGCACCGCCTCTACCGATTCATATACGCTTCACCTGGACGAAGCGTACGTCTCAATTCCAACCACAGAGGCGGCGCCTCTAGTTCGGCCATGGTCCGCTTCGCCTTAAGGCGCGCCTCAAGGCGTACGCTTCTGACGAGTTTTAAAACGATGGGTAGGTCGACGACTAAGGCGATCCACCTCCTTAGACGCCTTACGGAGAAATATAGAGAAAGATGTAGAGATCTCCATACGCTGTTCGTTGACCTTTGACCTTGAGAAGGCATATGATATGGATATGGATATGGATATGGATATGATAGTGTGTCTCCAGAGAGGACATGGAAGCCAGCCTTGGACATTTAATAAAAGGGTCTCTAGAGAAATATGGCAGGGATATATGTGATATGTATCAACCAAGGACCGAAACTCAGATACACAACTCATAGTCTTTCTCGTGGAACAACTAGGACCAAAACTTAGGCCATACATTTTGGATGAGATCCTCATCCAGAGAGGGATGTCATGCCATGACAACATTGTGTTAATGCTAGGTTGGATATGTAGAGGACATTCATTGCAAGAAAAAGGATTACAGATAATATTGAATAAGTATGGTTCAATTCCAAAGGGGAGCATAATAATAAGGGAGTCTTTATTCTCTAACGAGGAGCAACTACTACACCCAAATGAGAATTTTAACTTCTTAGGGTCTATGGGATGCCAACATTACCCAACATAAAGGCATGGCATGGCATGGCATGATGGTTAAAGTAGAGGGTGGCCATTTTAGTTTTGTGCAACAAGAGGGTGCCAAGGTAAACTCTACAGGGTGTGGCAGTTAGTTAGGCGTAGGTCAGCTAATTTGTACTAATCCGATAACCAAGGCATGCAAAAGGAATAGGGATTGCAGACATGTGGCATACGAATATGGCAATCAGAAATAAGCTAAGTGGCATAGATCATCGAAAAACTAAGGAAGCAAGATTAAGGTAGTTCGAGCATGTGCAAAAATGGCAATCAATGACTAAGCTTGGGAGGGTAGAGACATTTACGGTCGATGAAGCAAGGCAAAGCAGAGAGGTTGTCCGAGGAAGTACGAAAATCGCATGAGGTTAGACATGAAGGTGTTGCCACTTTATGAGGACATGACCTCATTCATATACAAGGGGGTAAAGGCTTCAAATCAGGGTAGTAGAGTAGTATAGGTTTTAGTTACCAACTTTATCTTTAGGAGCCTCTAACTACATTATTTACCTTCTTTAATATTCCAATTTTTTCTTTAATCTCTTTTGCTAGTATCATATTTTTAGATCCACCCCTCCAAAAAAAAAAAAAAAATTCCCTTGTGTTTGGCTTGCACTCTTTTTTGTCATAAGTCTTCTATGGAAGCAACCTCTCTACCCTGAAGTGAAGAGAAGATCGTCTACATCTACCCACCCCTTCCCACTTTGGTTTTTGGATTCCGATACTATTGTTGTTGTCTTTGTGCATGATGTTTAGGAGCTTCATAGTAGGTTGTATGTATAGAAATGTTGATGTTAGCATCCCTATGAATTATCTTGAATTTGTGTGTTTGCCTAGAGCTTGTTGTCCCTAATTGCTTGTTAAGTATGTCACAAATATATCGGTACTCATTCTATAACTAATTAATATGCAGTGACAAAACTCACATGCCATGTAAAATAGTCGATGAGAAAGAATCAAAGAAGAAGAAGATATTAATATGAATAGAATATTGACTTACGGATGCCAACAATCAGTTATGATTCTTGCAACCACACGATCAACAGTTTCAGGAATGTCAAGGTGTCTATACTGAAAGCCAACAGCACCAACAACCTGCATTGAATTCATCTCTACCCAAGGTACACGCAAAGTTGCCAACTCCCATAATATTACACCAAAGCTAAACACATCACACCTGCAAAATAACCCCATCTATTCTCTTAGCTACATACTGAAACATACATTCCTTCCACAATCCAACTCCACAAATTTAAATAATTGCCTACTTACTTTTTCATTCGATGGTTCGTTCCTTAGTACTTCCGGTGCCATCCATTCAGGCTGCAAATAGTTTGATCCAATTAATGCTATTTTGACATTTTATATTATTATATACAAGTGACATTCAGTAACAACATAACATACAGTTCCAGCAGTAGATTTCGAAGACAGAAAAGTGTGGTGTTTCATGCGTGACATCCCAAAATCAGATACCTGCATACATACGTTAACAAAATAAGTATGTAAATACATATTAACAACCAACTTTTATCATATATATATACAAACCTTCACAACCCAATTTTTATCAACAAGAAGATTTGGAGTCTTTAAGTCCCGATGCACAATAACTGGATTGCTGGTGTGTAAATAATTCATTCCCTTTGCCTGAAAGTGTTTCATAAAATTAACAACAGAAAAACAAAAAGGTTAAAAGCTGGAATCATTTGATTTTTACCACATCAAGAGCCATACGCATTCGCCTCTTTTCATCAAGTTGGACATTTGGCCGATGAAGCAGTTTATATAAGCTACCCCTGGGTAACATAAATCAAACAGGAAACAAGATAATGAGAAATACTGAAAGATAATCATCTCATAAAAAATATATATAAAAAAAAATAATCCACCTTGGTAGAAATTCTGTGAGGATGGAAAGATTTGGTGGACGAGTAACTGCTCCCATGAAAAGAACAATATTAGGATGTCTCAACCTCAACATGATCTCAACCTACAAAAACAACACTCTCTTGAATACTTTTTTTGAACAATATGAATGCTATGTTGACTCCAATAAATGACACAACTTAAAAGCTGTAGCACTTACTTCGCTTTTAAACTGAGTTAGTGCATCGCCTGAGATATCCTGGTTCATAAACTTCTTCACAGCAACCTCCTGTCAACAAATACCATCATATCAACAATTTAATCAATTAAACAGAAAAAATCTTTAAGTATAATGTTATTAAATATCAACTTACAGTTCCATTCCATTCTGAACGATAAACCTCACCAAAAGAAACCTGGAAGAAAGGAAGTACCATAAGACTGTTATGTAGAATAAGATTTCATTCACACACTTGATTCTCTAGATGATGCATAAAGAAACAGTATATAAACTTTTTTACCACCATTTAAGTAACATTATACAGTTACTGATTTAAGAAACAGTAAACAAGGGTATCTGTATCTCACCTATACCAATCCGTTCTCCAATCTGAAGATCCTCCCACAGAATTTCCCACTCAACTGCAGTAAGACTAATCCCCTCATTATGGCTTTCACATGTAGATTCAGAAAGTATATCTGTTTTGGACATTACTTCTTGCTGTGTTTGTAACCCAAAAAATGTAGCATTTGTGTTGTCATGATTAGACATGACTAACACTTGACCATGTTGACCACCAACATTTAACATGTCAGCATCTAACAAATGAACAGTTTCACATATGTCTGCTTCTCCCTTCACTTGGTTATTTACATTTAAAAGGGAATCGAGCGATGTTCCACCATTATTTAATAGAACTGCATGGAGTTTTTGAGCAAATTCTGGGTTTTTTGCAGCGGTTATGACACATTCAGACACATCTTCAATCTGCAATTTTTGTGCAGGGGATGTTCTTCCACCAGCATTTGATGGGCCTTCATGTGACCTGCTGAGGATTGGAAGAAGGTTACCAAAATCATACTCAAACCTCTCCGTTTGATTTTCTCTTCATAACTTTTCCATCCTTTAGACCTTTTGATTGTGAGCCTATAATAGAACTAGAAGTCACTTCAGAACCTGAAGTCCCAATTTTGGCAACATTATCTGCTTGAGGTGTAGCTGCTACTGAATCTAGTCCAAAATTTGGAAGATTATAGCTCTGAACCTCAGAAGGAATCAGGGTGCCTGGAGCACCCATTAAATCAATAATGTATTCACTGCATCAATGAAACCAGATCCTACATCAATGTGCATCCTTCATAAATAATAGGTGTTGTACAAATACAAGCAAAAATATGTATGCATACAAGCACAAATGAGCAAATCATACACATTCATATTCATATATATGCATATGAAATGGTGGAGTTACTAATTAACAAAAGACATGATCGCCTTACCTTCCATTATCGATCTTGATCAAGTTCACAGCTCCATCATCAGTGCCAGTATAGTAGCTCCCTTTTACCAGACTACATGGAAGGTTGATCTTATCAGCGAGTACCTAGCATTAAATGAATAGTTGACAAAGTGTTCAAAGAAACTTAAGATTATACAAGGTAAAGAGGGCAAAGCATCATGCTAAACTTATGCCTTGTGAAGGACATGTTTTGGGGTTGAACTTTGAGAATTGGTTTTATAAGATTTTGACTATCTATCAACAAACTGCTTAAAAACTGATACACGAAGTTGAATACCTTAAAAAGCAAGGCCCTGTGGCGGGAAAGTCCAACATCAAGACAACCAAGAGGAAGAATGATAGTGTTCATGGAATTCCTTAACTCATAACTTCTAAGAGTCCATCTTCTCAACATTTCATCTGCATCACTAACAGGACCCCCCATTTGAGCAACGACAATATTGGCAAGTTTTTGGATTAATGTACTCATAATCTGCCTAGTCCCAGCAGCCTGGCATTCCAGTGATATAGTGGAAACTCTTTCCTCAAGATACCGCAGTTCCTTATCAACCATTCGGTCAACTAAAATTACTTCATAGTCAACATTATCTGAAACAGTTATTGCTTGAAGATCCACTAACAATGGCATCTTCCCTTGTGTGATTGAACTTGAAGTAATCCCATATACATCATAGAAACCGTCCATCACTTTCTCATCATAATTTACAACATTATTGCTCTGCATGTACAAAATTCTCTCCATCATTTACAAGCTTGTCTTTAAAAAGCATGTTGCATAAGAAGCATAAAAGCAGTACTACATACGATGGTAAATATTAACAAGTGTAGAACTTGAAATATATAACTCAATTTCACAAGATACCATTCACATGCCAGCAAAAACTTTGATAGATATGCTTTTATTGTATGTGCCCAAGCATGCTATGGATGCTTGATCACACATACTGTTTGGTGTAATGGAAAAGGAGACAGATTAAGAAGTTCTGTACTGTTCACTCAAAATATGTCAATCAACTCCTATTACCTTTATTTGCAAAACAATTATTTAACATTTTATCATTTAGTACATAAAGCTGATAAACATTCAATTGTCTAAACAGCATTGATGATGATAACCATTCGTCCAGCATTCATTCCATCAATAACAGCTAGAGCTTACAGTAATTGTGATTCAATTTAAGAAAATATTGTTATAAAAACTTATATCCTCTCAATGTAAACTTTGTTGTTACTTGGGCTTAGTAGAATTATGTTGCAGATCCATGTGCAAAGGTTAAATCTTCTAAAACTTGTGGTTATCTTCATATATTTCCTTCTCTAACAAGAGCTGAATCATTGATTGTTAAAAAGACACAAATTCAAAATTCAAGGATCCCTTATGTCGTAGATGTCAGTACGATCCTAAGCTAATCAATGTTTAATACATCAACCTTCGAAAGTATATATTGAAGTCCAAAGAAACTCACGCTACTGAACACAGCACTTGGATCAAAAGTAGAGTTGAAGCCAAATGCATATTCAATTATGTATAGAATGCGATTAGTTAAAGTAACCTTACGTAGCCATCAAAATTTAAGACCTAGAAAAATATGAATACATTACCCAATACCGAAGCGAAAGAAATTCAACGAAGGGTTCAGAAGGAGAACAGCCCAAGCTTCTTTGCTTAGCAGCCTTAATTTGTTCGGTTTCAGCATCAGGTTGACCCGTCTCGACCGATCCCGATGAGACACTAATCGCAAGAGCAAGTTGCATCTGAAATTCCTCTTCGAAGAAATTAGAATCAACTGTGGACGAGTTTGAGATGTCGTTGACGTTCTGGGCAGATGAAGATAAATCGGCTCCGGTTCCATCGACAATCGGCAACATAGATGGAGAAGAAGACGATGAGTGAAACGTGGTCGTTGCCGGAGACCGTGATGACGGGTCGGCAGTGGCCAGTCGATTATTGTTATCGTTGAACCCACCACCGATGTGAAGCTTTCGCAACAGATGCTTCATCTTTGACATCGTCGTCGATCGATGCGCATCAAAAACTCGCACTCTGTCTCTCGCACACAGAGTCTTTCTCTGTCTAGAATTCCCCTTAAAAGTTTCTCGCTCTACCAGCTGAAAGGGTGATTCTCTTAACCTACGCCCACTTCTACGAGTAGTACCCGCTCGGAAAAAGAATTAAGTTAGGTAATTATTACTTTTCCCAAAACACCGCTGCAACAAACATAACATTATATAAAAAGGTAAAATGATTTTGAAGAATAATATATTTTTTAGACAAAATATGCAATTGGTTCTTGTTATTTGTCAAAAAATGGTATGGTGACTACAACCATGAAAATTTTATGTGAGCCCTCGTTTTTTCCTTTCACTTACCTTTGACTTTCTATTGGTGCAAACATGAAGCTTGCTAGGAATTGGAATCCCATTGTGGATAAATTCAAAGCTAAGTTATCATCGTGGAAGGCGAGAAATCTTTCATTTGGCGGTAGGCTCATCTTTGTTAAGCTCGTGTTAGGAAGTCTTCCGTTATATTATTTTTCCCTTTTTAAAGCACCTAAGGTGATGTTTGGTTCGCAGAATGGTACTGAAGGAATTTGAATTGGAATTAGAAAAGGAATCTGTCAGGAATTTGAATCCAATTCCATATGCTGTTTGGTTGGCAGGAAATGGAATTGGAATTAATTCCAGATTCTGTTTGGTTCGCAGAAAATGAAATTAGAATTCATGTAAAATGACAGAATTACCCTTTTGTCTGTTTTTCTTAATTTTTACTTTGTTTTTTAAGTTATATGTAAACATATATTATATAAATTATTGAAATAGTAAAATTTTAATTTATTGATTAAACATTCATGCAAACATATTATGAAAATCATGTTAATAAACATCATAAGTTAAAGTCATTCCACTTCGCATCATAATAACGTTACCAAAAAGCATATCAATATTTTGATACATCCCTATCGAAGATACCAAAAACTTACAAATCCAAAATACCAAGCAACATCCTAATAAACATCCCAAAAGAGCTTAAAAATCCAAAATACGAATTAACATCCTAATTAATAATACTACCATTCCAAGATGTATTTGACCCAAACTTCTCTATCGTCTTCTTCAATTTGCCAAAAATTTTGTACGTTTATTGGATCACTTCTTATCTTGGTCAAAGCTTTGAACTTCTCGACTTAACTTAATGAACTCATCTTTAAAATCTCCGGAGGGATCTTCTCACTCAATTCGTTAATCTTCATGTCAAATTTAATACCTTGACTCAAATCTTTTGATATTTCTTTAAGACTTTCAGTAATCAAACCAACCGCATTATGGAACACATCATCGGCACGCCGTTTCCTCTTATTAGAGTGAACACTTAGTGAAGTTTCATCATTTTGCACTGATGTATTATGGCTAATTTCCTCGGATTCAAGTATGTCATCATCCGACTCTTGCATTTCTTCTTCTAAGTTCACATCTTGCTCCATCTCAATGAAATCTCTAACTCTATTTCCTTGAGCTCGGTCTTTTCCAAAAACAATGCAAAGATCTTCATAGTAAGGAAATGATTTGGGTTTCCATCTAGTCGCTTCTTTATGAACCTATTTACCAACATGATAACTTATATAAAAAAATAAAATATTTCCATATAGTCACTTCATTATAAACTATAAAAATAAAAATATTATAACATCATGTACCTGTAGGTACGCCTCCCAAACCGGATCCTCAGCAGTAACACAATGTTTTTCAGAATCATAACCAAACCCGCTTGTGTTTGAACCGTTTACCATATCGTAGACACATTGCCAATCTCTCTTCATGGTTTTTATCTTTGACTCAATATGTGGCTTACCTAAAATACCCGAGTCCGGAAGTGATTGTTTTAATGCTTGCTCAGGATGTTGCAAATAACCCGACTTAAAACCATTATCGGCTTTAAATCCTCCAGCATTTGTCATATTCACTAATGCCTCAACTAGCTTTGCTTTTTCATTGTTTGTCCATGTCTTATAATTTCTAATTTGACTTGCCATACCTATATAAACATAACAAAAACCAATAGATAAGTATCACAACTAATTTTAGATACATTATAAATAGATAAGCAAAATGCTAATTGTCCAACATAACATTAAGCAAACAACAATTTGTCCAACATAACGTTAAAAAGGCAACAATTGTTCAATGTAACGATAAGCAAACAATACAACAATTTGTCCAACATAACGTTAAAAAAGCAACAATTGTTCAACGTAACGATAAGCAAAATGCCAATTTAATTTGTCGCGCCCCTAGATGCAAACATGGACTCCGCTAAATTATCTCTAAATATGGTCCATTCATTCGAAGTCCCTACAGAAGTAATATTATCAACATCTTCAGGTCCAACATCTCCGGTTCCCTCGTCCCGATCACATTCATTGTCAAAAGGATCTACTTCCATTTCTTGTATTATGAAGTTATGTAGTAGACAACATGTCATTATGATCTTATTTTTCATTTCAATTGGATAATATGAATTGTCTTTTAATATTCCCCATCTTCCCTTCAAAATTCCAAAACATCGTTCAGTGACATTTCTTGCTGATGAATGTTTCATGTTAAAGAATTCCTTTGCTGTAGTTGGTTGGTGCCCATGACGCCATTCATTTAAGTGATACCTTTGCCCTCTATACGGGGCTAGAAAACCCTCTCCATTTGTATATTCAGCATCAACTAAGTAATAACCTGCAAATAGGATTTATAGTTAATAACGTTTTATAAATAAGATTTATAGTTAAATATATATAAAAGATTTACATACCCGGTCTTGGAACTTTCAATCCATGTGGTCTAAGAAGAGCATCCCGAAGAACTCTACCATCCGCAGCCGATCCCTCCCATCCCGGTAACACGTAGATAAAATGCATATCTTGGGAACAAACCCCTAGAACGTTTGTTGCAATGTCATTCTTTCTTGTTCTATATCTAGGCTTTTCTTCGGCTGGAACTAGGCACTTTATATATGTTCCATCTAAAGCCCCTAAACAATTCTTAAACCATTTCCATCTTTGATCGGTGGAGTTATTGGGAACAGGTTCGGGTCTCTTAAGCAAACGAGTATGCAATCGTATGACAGCATTACAAACGCGACTAAAGTGCCTACTAATCGTTTCTCCCGAACGATGAAAGCGACTTATGATGACCCGATTCTTAACATTATGAGCAAGAATATGTAGAAACATGGCAACTTGTTCATCAATATCCATATTCCTACTTCGTTTTAGTCCTCCGAATGTTTCAAGCATATGACATAACTTTTTAAAGCACATTCGAGACATCCTAATTTGTGATATAGACATGGTGTCACTCTCATAAACTATTTCATGTAGTATTGGGTATCGATCTATATTTGAAGAAATCCGCTTAATACGTCGTTTATCTATATGGTTTTTGAACATCATTAACAGGAGGAGTACAACAATGTGCAAAACCACATTCCACCATTTCAAAATCAATGAATTTTGTCTTTGTCTACGATTATATGTTGTTAAACTAGGTCGGGACATTTTCCTGTGCATACAAACAGATGAACAATTTTATTTTCATATTTGCTGCTGTTACAAGATGTTCTAATTGATTAATTAATAACACTTTGATTTCTAGGAAGATAAACAACATGGTTTTCATAGAAACAACACTTTTGAATAAAGCATAGATCTTCACAGAAACAACTAGATAATCAACTTGATAATCAGTGTTACTGATAAAACTAAAAAAGAACAACTTTGATTATCACTGAAATCAGGAAATCGAGAAGAACAATTTTGATTATCACTAAAAAAGAACAACTTTGGCTCTGTATTCAATTTGCATTTTCCCCAATTTTCGATCCAGTTCTTACAAGAAGTGATTAGAGGTTACATTCTCATTTGCATTCTATTATATAAAAAAATTAGTGCTAATTAATTTTTGGATTGAGCCTCTCAGTCGACCCTTTTCTTGTTGGTTTTGTGGATGTTCAATATTGGGATTAAAAGAGCGAATTTTTGCAGGAAACAATTTAGATATACATGTTTCAGGAAATCGATTTTCACTGAATAAATATAGGTAATCGATTTTCCTGAAATCGACTTATCACAACAAGAAACAGTGGGCAAGATTACGAGGGAGAGAGAGAGCTAGAGAGAGACAGCGAGAGATTTGTACACACACCTGACGAAGAGATGGAGAACGAGAAGCCTGCAATTCGATTTTGACGGAGAAAGAGAAGCCTGCAACGCGATGGAAAAGACGAGCACTATGAGATGTCGGCTGTGATGTTGGCCGTGTCCAATTTTGAGGAATACGATTCGGATAGGGTTTTGTTTTTAGAAGGATTTTGTTAAAATAAAAGGGGTATAATGGTAATATTTCACTTTCCTAGATGGTATGGAATTATTTCCATCAGTTTGTAAAAGGATTGTAGATTCCAACGGATGAATGAATGTTTTCCTCATTTAGGATTCCCTTTCCTTCCTTAAGTTGAACCAAACGCAGGAATTCGAGGGAATTGGAATCCTTTTCCCTCGAATTCCAATCCTTTCCTGCCAACCAAACGCAGCCTAAGAAGATTATTGAGCTTTTGGAGAGTATTCAGGAAGAGATTTCTTTGGGGTGGCATTGACAATAGTAGAAAAATTCATTCGGTTGATTGGGACGTGGTGACTAGACCCAAGTATGGGTTTTGGAGTTGGGAGTCTTAGTTCCATGAATATTGCTCTTCTTGCAAAATGGTGGTGGAGATTTAAAGTCGAGCATAACTCTCTTTGGTCTTCTTGTATCAAAGCTTTGCATAACACCAGTTGTATTGATGGGAAGCCTTTTGCTAAAAGTGGTATTCCAGGACCTTGGCTTACTATATATTAAATAACTTGGGATTTGGAGGCTTGGGATATTTCTCTTGATGATCTTTTTTTCAGGAAATTAGGAGATGGTAATCAAACGCACGTTTGGAAAGACAAGTGGTGTGGTGATTTTATACTTAAAGACGTCTTCCCGGAGTTATATAAAATCGAGTCGAGAAAAAACTGCATGGTTTTTGAGAGGCTTTCAAACATCAATGGGGCTGTTTTTCATGATGTTTGGAAAAGGTAGCCAAGGATAGGCAGGGAGACAGC